AACATTTCAATAAAGTTTCTGGGACTTTATGATTCTGGCACTCTAAAAATGTTTAAGATTTTGAACTCAAACAAATTTTTCAAACAATCCAAAACGGTGCATACCGAGGTCGGTGCTACCAACATTGATTACCGGTCGTGCCTGAAATTACCCAAACAAAGAATCGATCCAAGATCGCCGATCGCCCAAACTTTGAGCAGTGATGTCTGTATTTTTGGTAATATTGCACATACTTTCCATATTTTAATATTTAAAATATATTTAAAAAAACTGACATCACTGCGTAATGAACCAATATATGTGTATCGCTATTGCATCTCACTTTCGAAATGTATGGTCACCATCGACACCACTACATTCTTCAGTGTGTAACAAGAGGCGCACAGTCTCTGAACGATTCGTCGAACTAATCGAAGTGGTAGGTTTTACGGTGGGAAAATGAATTTTCACTGAGGTTTAGATATAAGTCCCAACCCCCGAAAGTGGAAAGCTCAGTGGATCGAGCGCTGCATGAATGTAGTCACTGGAGGTGGGTAATTCTTTTAATCAAACACGAAAAATGTAGGAGGTTGCAGATGCTAGCAGATGCTCGCTTCTACTGTATCGTTCGCATTTACAGTGCTGACAGAAACATGACAGATTGTTTTTTTTTTTGACATTTAAATGATCTTTATTTCTTGTGATTGTGTGGTTTACATGTATGAATTTTTCAAGTGACACAGATGCGTCTTTTCAACTTTAGTACAGTGAGATTTTAATTATTATTTACAGTTCCTAGTCCTATCAGGTCTATTTTAAAGTATGACCACCTTGGTGGGATTGGTTTGATTTGAATTGGAAAAAGGAGACTACTTATAACTACTATTTACAACTACAACTAACCTTCAACTACTATGTACACCTAACCTACTATATACAAATTGCTTATCAAAGCATGTTCTGATAAATTACATTTTTGTGCAAATTTAGTCTTAATTTCGTTAATTTTGGCATCTATTTTGGCAATGCCTGTCTCTTCATGTAAATTTGTTATTCTAGTGTCGAAAGGACGATCAAGAACCATCCTCAGCACTCTATTCTGAGCTACCTGAATTTTATTCCTATGAGTCTGTGCACATGATTCCCACACCGGAGCTGCGTAGAGGATCGCAGGTGCTATGATTTGTTTGTAGACGGCCAGTTTGTTCACCCTTGAGAGGCGGGATCTGCGGCAAATCAGCGGATACAGACTCCTAACCAAGGCGGAACACTTGACTACGGTTTTCTCCACATGCGAGCGGAATAGGAGCTTTTCGTCAAACAACATCCCGAGATAGGTTACTTCGGCGGACCACTCAACCCTTGTGCCATCCATGATTACAGTACAAGAGGGAGCCGGTTTTAGTTTGGGTGATTGTCGATGGAGGAACATGATTGTTTGTGTTTTGGAAGCATTGATTTTGATTTTCCACGTGGTGGCATAATCAGCAAAGGCGTTAAGGCATCGTTGAAGTTTGTTCGTTATTTCGCGAGGCATCCTTCCTTTGACGGCTATTGCGGTATCATCTGCGAACAGGAAAAACACGCAACCGTCTCCAAGGGGAGGAATGTCGGAAGTGTAAATGCTGTAAAGCAAGGGGCCCAGCAGACTGCCTTGCGGGACTCCTGCTGGGATGGAAAACGTGTCTGAAAGACAACCATTCAACGATACCTTAAACGACCTTTGCTGGAGGTAGCTACGGGTGATTTTAACAAGATGCAAAGGAAAGGTGAAGTTACAAAGCTTGTATACAAGCCCATTGTGCCAGACATTATCAAACGCTTTCTCAACGTCTAATAATGCCATGGCTGTAGACTTGGATACAGCCTTGTTACTTCGGATGTTATTCATCACCCGTACTAGCTGATGATTTGTGGAGTGCCCCTTCCTGAACCCGAACTGTTCCGGTAGGAGAATGTTGTGTTCCTCGACAAATTTGAGCAAACGATTGAGAATAAGTTTCTCGAACAATTTGCTCAGCGCTGAAAGGAGGCTGATTGGTCTGTAGCTTGAAGCTAGCGTTGGGTCCTTCCCGGGTTTGCGGATAGGTATGATTTTCGCTGTTTTCCAGATACTTGGAAAGTAGTGCAGTTCCAAGCATCTGTTGAAGACAGCAGCCAGCAGAGAGTGAACCTTCATGCTGAGATTTTTCAATACTAGGTTGAATATTCCGTCAAACCCGGGGGCCTTCATGTTTTTGGTGCATTTCAGCGTTGAGCAAATCTGTTCCACTGTGATTCTATCCTCCGGAGGGATATGACAGATTGTTCATAGGGGAAATGCAGGTAATGTCGGCCTAAGTGTCCCTAATTTGACTCCATACATAAATTCAGCAATCGACTAAATTTTCAATAGCAACCAAAAATATCCATTAGTAACATCTCAATAACGCGTTAATCTAGATAAAATTGATAAATAGCAGATTTTTAGCGATGGGCCCAATCTTAGATCCACAGGCCAACATTAGATACATTTCCCCTAATACCCGACTCCACTGAAGAATCGGAAAATAATAGTCCACCTTTGCGTGAGTGAAGAGACTGCCATTTAGAAACTCACTGGTTGGCTTATAAATCCTGCATGAATGCAATATGCAAATTGAGGAATCGATCAGTGATGCCACATATATAGATTTATCTGTAATCATACAGATATTCTCATTATTTTGATACTGATTCATGTATAGAAATTACAGTTTACAGATTTTTCAAATAAGCAGAACATATTTTTGACTCTTGATTTTATTGATTCATTCTGATAATCGTTTCTTACTTTTTGTGGACCCCACGATTGCCTTTATTGAAAATAATCGTTTTAGCGAACCCCACACATATCAATATATTGATGCGAAGGGGAATTATTGACAATAATATTGATGTGAATAATGACATATTTTATATATCGATGTATTGACGACAATATTGAATGTATTAAATATATTACTATTGTCAATAAAAGCAATAGTGTAGGGTTCACTTTTGTCAATACATTCTATCTTGACGTTTTGGCCCTTATTATTGATGTATTGACGTCACGGTGAAGTGACAACTTATCACTCATGGTGAAGTGATTTTCAAAAAAAAAAAATCCAACCAGATCCACTTTCAAATTGTTTTTCCAATCATGGTATGCTGCCATTTTATGCATAAGTGTCCCATGTTCTACGCAATCTTTATGGACCATGGGACAGTTATGCGTATTAACAGCAGTATGGTCCTGAATTTTGCAACTGATTTCAAACTTTGTTGTTGTAACATTTACAACACATATTTCTTTTACAAGCATTCACACTTCAAAACAAGTAATCAAACTGTTGAGCAGTTTTGGTTTTGGAACAACCTTCTACCAGTGGTTTTAAGAAAATGAAGCAAATAAATTCCAGATGTTTCAAGCTTAGTATAAATAAAGCCACTCGAACTTCTAAATAAAACAATATTTTGAGATTGTCTGTTCAAGAACCTAGCTCAAATTAATGCGTTTCATACAACAAAAAAAAAGTAATTTGTTGGTCCAGTTTTGTGAAAAGGCTGGTTACGCAAAAATGCTTGGCAAAGAGGTCAGTTTCACAAAGTATTTAAGTTTCAGAATTTGGTTGCATTCCATGATTCTACACGGCGAATGAGAACGACTCAAATTTGAGTTTAGTTCACTCATAATCGCCAAAAGTGCTGGAACTCAGCGATGAGTTAATTTGCCTCATGTTTTCCCAGGATTTTCCAGGGAAAAATTCCCGAATTTGAGAAAAGTAAAGATTGGATTCACTCAGTCTATTGGTACTACTCCGGGACTGAATAAAATTTTCGTCAATTTCCTCATTTTCCGGCAGATTTTTTAGGTTTTCACAGGAAACCATGAGACAAATTTTACTCATCGCTGAGTTCCTGCACTTTTGGCGATTATGAGTGAACTAAACTCAAATTTGGGTCGTTCCCATGCAAATCAACAGAACTATGAAGTATTCCCCTACCCAACATGGTAATGTTGATTTGCGGGGTGAGCCTTGAGCTTCTAGAAATCATATAGAATTCTCGCGTCACTTTTCAAATAGACCAGTCTTTGTCATTCACGGTGAAGTGATTCCTGGGCAAATCGAATGGGAACCACTTCATCGTGAGTGAAAAGTTGTCATTTCATTTGGTATTCACCGTGGAACGACACTCATAATAAGGGCCCATGATTGCATCGAAAATTGTTGAAAAAAAATCTGTGTCGTTTACTGAAGAATCCGTAAAAGTGGCAGCACTGTCTCCGAGCCAAGCAAACTTTTGTAGCGCATGCTCATGTTGCGTGAGCCCCTACAAATGTTGTCGGGGACGGTGTCGAAATAGGGATGATCATTTTTTTTTGTACATGCGAACGAGTAGACAAATGTAATATTCTACTTCCAGGACAGGGACCATTTTCGGACAATTGAACCGTAGCCGTATTCACTTGTGTCAACATATTGTTTAATTTGTGGTGAATTTAAAATTCGTTATTGATGTGGTTTTCATATGCACTGCATTTTTAGTTCTTCGGTAATAGCAGAACTTGTTTTTTAGACGCTAAGGGGTTTTGCTGTCATAGTTCAGTTTTGATTTCATCGTTTCATGTGGTAATTACTAATTAAGTTTAAACTTGATTCCCCACGTCCATTTTCGATTCGGTTTTTGTGTGTTTTCAACGTTGTGTAAACTTTTAGTGACAATATAGCAGTTTAATTATTCTTGTTTTTTTTTTCAATTTTCAATGGTGACTATTTCAAAATTTGTCCTAAAAATATATTGGATTATGATTTTCGTATTAGGCTTCGAAAAAATCGTGCTGAAAACAGGAAAATTTCTAATCAATCACGTAACGCTGCGTAACGCCTGTGTGCTATTTGTTTAGTGTTGTAGTGTGACTTTGTTTACAAGCTTTAAAATTTAGCGCATTTGCCAGGGCTTTGTTCTTCCATACCTATGTACAATAAATGATTTCGGATTATGACTGCTTAAAAAGCTGACGATTTCCAATTCTATTGTATATCATAAACTAATTCTATTTGGAGCGGGTGTATACTCTTCTTTTACTCACAGCAAACTTAAAATGTGTTGGTTTTTAATCTATGTGTTTTTCGCTTTCGACTTATCTATTGTAAGCTTCTTCTTAGGAATTGCATCTCATTACTTTAGTGTGTTTTACAACATAAAAAAACACAACGGATCGATAACTTTGAGTAATCGGAAAGCTGTCATTTATTCACAATTATATATTTATTGTTTTTTTTTTCTTCTCGCACTTTAAATCCCTTGCTTGAAACGTATTAATTTCTGCTTAAAAGTATGTTCATTATCTAGAAAATATGTTTATTTTTACTAACCATAATGACCACTATCGTCTGTTTGTGGGTTTGTGAAGTAGGATATCGTTTTTGCCCATAATGATTTATCTGCTTTTCTTTCCACAATGCGGAGCCACAACGTTTTCAATTGAGATGGAATCCCTTCTCCTTGGTGGCCGTTAGCAGTCGTTCCCTCAGGATGTCCTCATTGGGATAGTCCGGAAGTTTGAGATAGTGGACACAGGTGTTGACCGACGGGTAGGATCCTTCTCCGGCATCCACTTTCCGCACCACAGTCAATCGTGGGTGCAGATTGGCCAGTCCACCTGGCGGTAGACTGCTGCAGCCAGTGGTAAACTGCAAAAATGCTTTCCTTTCACTGGCATTCATTCCCATCAGTACGTTGACAAAGCGCAAGAATCCGGGGCTGAAAAAAATACAGATTAGTTGCTACTTCAACGTCCAAGATTTCCTTCAAAACAACTACCTTTCCTTGGTGTATCCAAGCTTCGGTTCCGTGTACGTCATAATATCGTCTCGGGTCCACTCGGGGTTCTGCTCACCGCACAGCATCTTGCGAATTTCCTCCGGGGTAAAAGCGGCTAGCTTGTTCAGTGGGAATACCTCACAGAAGCCACGATGGAACGCGGTCAGTTGTTTCGCAATACCTTCTTGGAGGCAGAAGTTGATGGTCAAATTACAGTACTCCTCCACGTTGCTGATCGTGACGTCGATGTTAGATCCGTTGGGAATCAGATCTGCTGATTGGTAACCGTAGTTCTTCGAACTGGGCAGATAGGTGAACGTAAGGGCTAGGTCCTCCAAGGCTACACTGCCAGTTTTGGTGTTGAATTTAAGCTCGCTAATCTGCAGTAGCTTCTCCTCGGAGGTGAGATCATCATTCTGTTCGATGTTCTGTTTCTGCTGCACTAGTTCTTGCAGTTCTTTCAAGAATTCATACCGGATAGGATCGATTTCCTGAAGGTTCTCTTGAGAAAGAATACCATCATACCAACAGCCATCGTTAGCAAGTTTGGACTGATAGGAATCCACCAGGTCTCGATCGCTTTCTTCGGACATCAAAGAGGAAATCATCACATCATCGTGCAGAGCAGATTTGGACGAAATTTCGCTTAACGAATCTCTGGCGAGGGACTTGTTATTACACAGCAATTGCAAGAAGCTGTTGGACAGTGGCAGATCGACTAGACGACCATCCTGGAGCACTTTGGCCAGGAATACTCCCAAGAACCAGAAATAATTCGATACAAATTCGCAGATTTCCGACTCCTGAGGCAATGGGGCCGGAAACAATCCGGTGGATCGTCGAACGTAATATCCGATTGGCTTGCTTCCTTCACCGAGATCGATTTCATCTTCGATCAGCTTCGGCTCATCGTCACACAGCCACATACCGATGTCGCTTCTCTGCAATTCCGCTGCGACCAGGGCGTAGAATTCCAGCGTTGGACCTAACCCGGTACCTTCTTCTCCGACAAATTCCACCTCCAGCACTGATTTCCGATTGCAGTGGGTTTTCATGACCTGAGAAAGGTAAACACAGTTGTAAATACGAAATTTACTCTAACATTGTTGGGGAACCTACCTGTTGTGCCCATTCGAGCAAAGTTTCACCACGAGGGACCTTCACACGTTCGTGCTTCAACCGTCCAACGCGGAATTCGTGCTGATCGGCATGCCGAGGGCTTAATCCCGGTGCTCGTTGCCGTTCGAGGTTGACATCTCGCTGCGATTGAAGCCACACGATACTTCTCGAGGCGCCGAAAGCGGTACAGTTGAAATACAGCTGTCGCGTTTCAAACGGAAACAGGAATGGACAGTTCTGATTGAAATCTTCGCACCATTTTGGTAGGCTTCCACTCGCCAGAACTAGCGGGTCCTGAATTTGCTGCTGCAGTTTGTTGGTAATCTTCTTGCTTAAGAAAATGTCCGCATTCAGATTGTTGCTTTCCACGTCCGGGATGAGGTTCTTATCGTTGTTGGATGGTGACGATGTTAGGGTTTGGTTGATGGCATTCAGTTGGCCGAGGAGCTGCAGGACGTCGTCCACGGTGCAGTGAACCGAGGTTCCCATGTTGGACGGTGTTCCAGGGATGGGAGAGCTTGGTGAAAGAGTCGAACCTCCGCTACGCTGGGAGAACATGGACACTACTGGAGTGGCTCGTCCTTCCTCACCACTGCTGAAGTCTTCACCACGGCATGATCCGATTCCTCCCGACGAAGTGGCTTCTCGATAGACGATGGTATAGGTTGGTTGCCAAATTTTACGGAACTTGTCCTGCTTTGTCATGGTGGTCTGAAGAATCAGTTCCTGAACTGCTCGGAATATTGTCCAATCAGGTTGCGAAAGTGGAATTTCTACGTCGCTCACTCCGTTAATGTTCGGACCACGCAGTAGAAGAGCAAGGGATGGCTGAGGCAGAGGAGCATGCTCAGAATGACTACTACTGGGATGGCCATTATCGGCAGAATTGCCGGGTGCTGGAATTTCCAGATCACTTGTTTGGTTCACGTTCGTCCTACCAGGACGAGGATCGAATGCAGGTATCAGAGCGGAAAATTGGCGTTTCAACACGAATTCATCATCCCACGATTTACGCTTGCCAGCTGCAGCCAATCGGTTCTCCAAAGTCTCCTCATCCATAAACGACAGCAAATTTCGGGAAACCATCACTTGCAGCAAGGTATTTCCGACTTCTTCGTATTCGTCCTCATTTTCGTCGTCATCATTCTCATCCTCCATATCTTCGTCGTCATCCAGATCTCCGAGTAGAGTTGGAGCACGACATTGCTCTAGGAAATCTTCCAAGGAAACCTGTTCGCTATCGCTGCTGGTTGAGGTGAGACTCATCGTAAGTGCCGGATTCAGCACGGACTGGACATTTCCGCTTTGAAGTGCTCCGCTGTTGGATCCCGTTCCGGAAATGCTGTTATTATTTGTCCCTCCACTAACGGCAACCGTATTGGCATTGTTCGAAGAGCTTGACAGACTAGGATAACTTTGTGCGGTGCTTAACAGCCCACTGTGAAAGTTGCTCGACAGGGCAAGCTTGACCAGACTAGTAACCGAGTTTTGTCCCCTCGGGAAGAAGCTAGAGTTAGCAGCTTGAATGTTTGATCCAATGCTACTTAACTGATTGTTGGGTTGAGCATTGTTGGCGCCACTGCTTCCCGACGAGGTAGCCGATGCATTCGAGCTGGATTGGAGATGATGCGATGCAGAGCCGCCGGACGTACGCCTTCGGGCAATGGCAGCAAATGTTTCCAGCAAACCGGGTGGAGTTTGAACTTCCGGTGGTGCATTGTTTTCGTTGGTTGTCAGGTTTGGAACGCTGACACTCATCGGATTCACGGCGACAGCTGCCGATGGAGACTCGGGATTCAGAATGGTCGGTTCCTTAGAGCTTCCAGCTGCAGCTTCTGAATCGACAACAACAATATTGTTCTTAAGGTTGTTGGCAATGTCACGATCGTCCGATTCCTGCTGCTTGACTTCGTTGAGAACCTTCTTGGTCACACCGCCGGACGCGGTATTGTTGTTGATGGTGTTGTTGAATTTTATATCACCTACGATTTTATCTCCTGCTGGCAGCGTGCTAGTGCTGCTGGTACTGGTACTGGCCACAAAGAACGTCCCAGTAGAAGCAGTTCCTCCCGTTTGCTGTGGCTGTTGCGGCGTCGGAAGTGCTATTTTGACGGACGACAGTAAATTCGATTGCGTCAGCAATTCGGAAGAGAGCAAATTGTTGGTATTGTTCCGGAGCATGTCTACGCCTTCTCTCATCTTGTCCAACACGTCAAGCTTGGTCGGTAGGTAAGCTGCCTTACCGGAACTGCTGCTACTGCTGTTGTTTAGATTGATTTTGTTGTTCGTTTCGTTGATGTTGTTGGTTTTGTTATTTTCTTCTGATGAAGAGGACGACGAGCAGGCCGCAAGTTGCGTTCCAAAGTTGCTCACAAACTGAGTGCTACTACCGGTGCTGATGTTATTCTTAATATTATCCGAGAGTGTTAGATTCTCTGTAATAGTAGCCAAATCCGAGACTAGAGTCGAAGTACTTGTGTTGATTTGTGATAAATCAGTGATATTTCCCCGTTCACCAAGGGAGTGCACAATCACGGCTACTTCCTGATTGTTCAGATTGTTATTATTGGTACCAGGTGCGGACAGATCGTTGCTGCTGCTTCCACCACTCGTGTTGGCCAAGTCAGATCGTGCGCAGGATAGAACATTTTCAGCAATTACTTCAACAGCTTGCTTCCAAGCAAGGTTGTCCACGGAAGTTGCTTGCTCTGTCGAAGCTACGGAGGATTTATTTTCGGTTGCTTCCGGCAGGCTAGGAGTAGAGCTTGATTTGCGACTAGTCAGAACGTTCAGTGATTTGTCGTACACTTTCTTGGCAGAGGAAACTGTCCCTGCACTGATATGAGCCAATCCCGAGCCGGAATTGTTCATATCGTACGGTGCAGTAAGATTGTCACTGTTCGACAACTTTAGATCGTACTTTCCCTCAGCACCCATGCGGTAGGAATTTCTCAAACCGTGATCCCACTTAACATCGATCCATCCGTTGTGAATTTCTCCCGTTACCGTACCTTCTCCAGTAGGATTTCCATCCTGATCATCCCAATGCCAATCGACACCTCGCACTACGCGAGCCCCTTGGGTAATATATTTGAGCTGAGCTCGAATCTGTCGTCTCTCCTTTCTCAATCGAGCTTCATTTTCCTTGGCTGCAGCTTTTCCCATATCGTCACAGACCGTAGCAACTTTGCCGTAGATTTCGAATCCACTCAAGCTCAGATAATGAGTCTGTCCGGAAGCATTTCTTCCATTTTGGTGTATCCGCACGTGGCGCCATCCCTGTTGTTCCTCCGCGGAACATTCGATTGGCCAGGTACAAGTACTTCCTGGTTCGGCCAAGCTTTTATCATCTGAATGAGTTAACATTGTCACCCAATTTACTCCGTCTTTAGACATTTGGAACATCCAATTTCGCAGAGCCGAACGTCCATATCCACGGGCATGTCGCAGCGTGTAGGCCGCTGGAATAACATACATTCCCAAATCGATCGCAAACCATGACTTCTTGTTATCTTTAGTGTGGCAATTTACGCTGACGCTGTCTCGCGACAGGATATCCTCCAGCTTGCCATATGGAAGTTGCTTACCCTCACTGCTCGTAACAGTGACTAATCCATACTGAGCAGGATTCACCCATTCCGTGGTCTTTCCATTCGTTCCGATGTAGTAGACAATTCCATTCTCATCGAAATCATGCTGGTGCTTGAATTGGACACTTCCAGGTTTTGAATCTTTCAATTTTTTCAAGTATAAGAAAGACGATCGATCCATATCGTACCACTGTTTGGCGACCATCTTCAGCAGGTACTTGTTCAGCTGACCCACCGTTGCTAGAGGTTCCATTTTCAAGTTCCTTCCAGTCCTATCGAATAGAGTCTGCTCGCAGGCAGCCCTCTCTAGTCGGAAGCTCAACCTTTTCGTAAGAATTTGCAACCCGTAGCTGCCTCCAGGAGAATCATACATGTGAACCGGCAGCTTCTCGATACTCTCCAAAGCAGACACCAATTTCTGAACGAGGATACTGGCTGTATTCTTGCCGTTCTTGGAATCCGCATACATGCATTTTTTAAAGATTGATATCCGCTGTTTTTGGTACTTGTTCGCTTTACTTCTGTTCATTTCGAGTTCCCAATAGTTTCGTGATAGTACGGCTACCAATGCTTGCACAAGCCCGGAACTGTGCATCTCGTAAGCACTTATGACCCCATCCTCGTTCAGCAATTGTACCAGATCGTGCAGGGCATTGTACAATTTTTCCTGCCAGGTGCCTCGTTGGCCATCTTGTGACGGCTGTGCTTGAATTCTAACCTGTAGCAAACCAGTGGCTTTCGGCGCACATTGATCCTCCAGCGCGCACTCGATTTGGCGAACAATGTTGCACAGCTTGGCAACTGCACCGCGTGGAACAGCTTGAGCCGCTTTGAAGTAACGGTTGTACAGATCTCGAGCAATGTTCTTTACCTGTAATTGAAAGAAACATGAAATCACTGGCTTCACTAGAGACCGCCAAATCTTACCTGATATTTCTGTGCCTCCGCCTTGGAACGCATTTTCTTCTTCTTGGTGTTGATCCACCCGGCAGCAAAGTCCGGTCCGAGGGTGGTCTCCGCTGTGAAAGTATGCTTGGTGCCGCGGTTGCTTTCGAAAATGAATCCAGGCAGCTCGTCCTGCAGTATCGTCACCTGGTGACCTTCCGAGTTGTTGATATGTAGCTGATGTTCCTTCTGGCTCTGCAGCACCCAGTTACCGACGACGATGCGCGAAAGACTTGGCGAGGAAAGAATCGGCTGAGATGGGGTTCCCTGCCGAACTGCACCGCGAGCCCGCTGTAGTTTTTCCAGAAATTCACCGCGGTTTTCTGTAACCGAATGAGGGGAAGTTGTATTTGTTAGAGCAATATTCAGCTTTCCTATGGATTTGCCAATGAAAAGGTGATTACGTCCAATGTCTGAATTATGCACAGCTTGAAAACTACACGTCCAACAACAGAAGCTAATTCAAGTTGGTAATGAGTGTTTAGAAAAAAAAAAAAAAATAAGCGACAAATTGGTCTACGGTTGGCACGCATTTTATTTTGTATGACTTCTTCACTCCTAAAATCTCACCTTCGCCGGCTAAGGAATCCGTACTCCTTCCTTTGCCTAGAAATGGGAAACATTGGGATTGAGAACAATAGGAAACTTAAATAAAGAACACTGATCTGGATTATGATGGGTCGAGGAGGGGGGGGGGGGGGGGTGTACTGAATTAACACTGAACAAAAAAGGGTTACTGCGAAATTATGAAATGGCACACACACACACATTGCGAAATGTGACGACATGATAGGATTCGTGAGTTGCACAACACGCAGTAGAGTAGTGGATGCGAAGCCATTTACGTTTACCAAGTCAAGTAACATGCATTGTAGTGGGGGTGTTATTAAGGTCAGGTCGTAGGTCGCAAATTAGCATATTCACAGCAAAATACTAACCTGAACTATCACTGCCATTTTCGGGGCTGCCACTGGAGTACATGGTGGCCAGTTTGCCGTCCAGGATGAATCGGAACCATCCGTTCGATCCATTCGATAGTTCCAAGGCAGACGAATCGGACCATACGTACAGACAATCCCGTCCCCGGCAGATGCTCCAATCTCGCCAATGGTATGCCTTTCCAGGAAGAATTTCTTTGGCATCCTCCACCGCATTACTGGTGGTGGTAGTGCCAGTAGCGGCGGAGCCTCCCGTAGCAACAACAACAACAGCAGTAGCATCTTGCACACTGGTTCCAACCGTCTTTGTTTCCTCTTGAGATTTGATCACATCGGTATTGTCTCCTTCGCCGCCGAAACCGTTTTCTCCCATCAGAGACTGCACTTTGGAGAACACTCCGAGCCGGGCAAAATGGTCGAGGAAATCATTCTGCGTCTTGGACATGAGTTCCTCGATGATGGTGAGCACCACCAGATGACCATCTTCGTCGTCCTGTTGTGAAAAGAAAAACAGTCATGTTAGAGAACAGAACGAATCGGAAACGACGACGTAGTTGGTCACGTGTAGCACGTGTGGGTTATAAACCGTTAGGGAAAGGTACACTCTTTCGTGCATTCAACGAGTGATGGTAGGTGCTAGTAGTAGACCAGACAATCAACAACAACATCAACACACACACACATATACAGGTAGGTAATTCACTAAATGAGAGAGCAATAACAACCTCGACTTTTGTTTGGGCAATTTATAGCTGATAATGCCAATCTGAAACAACTGGTCGATCGGGCACATTTCTGTAATCGCCGAGTTGGTGGCGTCTCAGTTAACGGCTGTTATTATATTAAGATTAGTGCGGTAGCATACGCGAATGACTAAAGATAATGCGAATTTTATTTTTATGTACACTGTTTGAAGCTTTGACCGTGGCGTTTGAGTTAAATATTACATTCACTATTAGGAACATATTATAAGAGAAAACTTTAAAAAATAACACTAAAAGCATGGTTCACATATGGTTTAATGAGGTATAGTTATTGCGATCGCGAGCTAATATGTAGAAACTTTCAGTGTTTAGGATCGACGCGGAAAACCATGACGTATTCTAAAATAAATATTTCATTAAGCAAGCATCTTTGTTACAAGGAGGAGCAAATTCCTTCTGTGTCCTAATAAGGAGATTTGCATGAGATAAATGGCTGGATAATGCGTTTCATTGGTATCTGCAGGTATAAAATAGGCTCAAACTAGTGGTCCTTGGCCTATTGCTCAGTAGTTAAGCATATCGTCCGACCATTTTCCACAGAGATGGCGCTGTTCCACTGGTAGAAAGTGATAAAAAATCCCCATATAGAAATTGCAAGAAGTGGGAATAATTCGCTTTCGGTGCATATTCAGGTCAAACAAAGTGAACGAAAACCTAAATAAATTAGTCAAGGACTTTGTCGTACAGATTTGCCTTCTTTACTACCAGTCCTCAGAGAGCAAAAAAAAAATCAAATTTGAGAGAGAACATTTGCTCTCACGAGCTCAATCTCTCAACATGCCATGTATTTTGATGACACTCGATTTGTGATTTCCCTTTCACAGATTACAAAATAGTGTACCTGTCACTACGAAACATGTCTGGTACCTCTATATATGCATTTAGTTTAACATTTGCAGTCCCTCATTTTTTACAAATTCTGCACAAAATATACTTTCTCCCCTGCCTCATATATAAAAATCGGCGGGAAATTCTGTGAGGGGTGAGCTATTTTGTGTGCAGAATGTGTAAAAAAAAGGAGGAACTTCGAATATTAATCTAAATGCATATATAGAGGTACCAAACATGTTTTGCACTGCACTGTCCTCTGTGAACAATTACGGTAAAACAGATTATGAGTAGTTTTCGATAGATGTCAGCGCAAACAACAGCAGTGACATCTGATGGAACATGCATGCAGAAGCTTGACCAAATCCAGCACATCCTGATTTATTGTCCAGTTCAAGTTTCTATAGGCTATTATTTACAAGTTACCTTAAGTATTCGAGGTAACAAAGCAGTAATGCAAACGTTTTGACCAAGCGATAGCGGTGCCGAGTATGTTTGTGTCCAACACAAAAGCTATGATGTATCCAATCCACATGGCTGAAACGGTTATCTGACTTTTGACGCCACATTCGAAGAGGAAATGTTCCATCGTGGCGTTTGTCACAGTGTTGATCGTTTCTCCTACCACGTTAGTGAAGTAGTTCGTTAGTTACTATCTTACGATGCATTACCATATACCATGTTGACCTTTGAAGAGTGCAAGCGGCTGAAGATCGTCTTTCAATCACGCGAAACAGCATCTGTTATAATTGTAGTATCCTTCAATCGTTGCATATACTGTTTCTATTCACATAACAGTCCCCTGTAGATAGGAAATTCTCAGGATATGGGACTGTTATGCGAATAGCGGAAGTAAAGCAGTTGTATATACTGCTCGAGCTGGGATTTTCAGCGATTTCAACAGGCAAAATTGCTCACGAACAGCACTGCCGTTAGATAACACTGTGACGTAAATCCATTCAGTGAATTGTTCAGAAAACAAATATTTTTAATTATCCTTGTAATGATCAAGAAAATTTGCAACAATATTACTGGATATGATCAATATGATCTAAACGAGGATAAAAATATGATCCTTGATGTTTAAAAAACTACAAGGGACAGCCCTACGGGGTTGTAATGGTGACGTAGCACTACGTGGTCATATATAATAAATGTTATTTGTTAGCTGCAGCTTGTGTTTTGTGTAGAAATAGGATTTTGAACGGGATTCTCTCTGTTTATACTCTTTAGTATAACTATGATTGCTCCGAAAAGAACCTTTTTATATGAATTTTAGTTGGGACATGTTCAGAAATTTAACTCTTTGGGAAAATCTTGATGGCCCTGAAAAGGGCCGATGGTAGTACAGGCTTAAAGCCTTTGGAAGATGTATCAACACAACAATCCCGGACAATCCCATATTCTTTGGTTCAATGATTGGGCACTCGCAAGAGTCTCGGCCCGTCTGCTGCTGGACAGGGGTTGAACTGGTGTCTGCGACAGGTTGGAAGGTCGCAGAATATCAGTGTCCACCCAGCTAAAGCTCCTTGCCTTTTTAGTTTTTCTCGTTAAACTCCTTCTCTCAACAAGTTGGTAAATCTTAGCCTTAGCCACTTTTTTCGGCGAATTTATGAACCTGTTTCACGTGATGGTTCTCCTCTATGTCTCTCAAACGAGTAGAAATTTTTGAAAATTTGCTCGAATAATTGAAAATTCAATAAAAATTTAATCGAATAGCTGGAAAAATCTTTACGATTAATCGTTAATCGAATAATTGAACTTTTAAGCATCCCTAGTAAATAGTGTAATTTCATGTTTTTGGTGGTCCTTAAAAAATGTCGAACACTAAAATTGCAACCAGCAAGTGTAACCCAAGAACAAAAAAGTGCCATGTACGTAATTGGTGGATTTGTTAATTATTTCGACGCTTTTGGACAATGCATGGCATTTACCATTTTTCCAATAGTTTCTTGTTGAAAATCAACAGTCGGAAGCATTGTTATCGATGCGTGGAAATATTTCTGATCGGTTGGTGATAAAATTATTGAAAATGGTCCAGGGGCAGCTGAGTTTTCAACGTTCAAAATCTTTCATAATTTCGTTACATGTTCCATTTTCGGTTTTCACAAAGTGTACCCTCATATAGAAATCACAGACGTAGTCCTACGCTAAAAGCTTTTAATAGGTTAGCACTTAACTGTATGGCTGACGTCACTTTGTCTGCATGCTTCAACATCAAATTTTGTACAAGTTTGAAGTATTTTTGAGTGTCATTTAGTATGCAGAACTCGAATATGACGAAAAGTGAAAATTGACCATGGTGGCGTTTACGCCACTTTGTCATCTCACGACAGAGCAGTCCGGGATATGTTCATTATGGTGTCAATATAGTTTTTGAAACCGACATAGTGGCAACTGAATTTCCCGGTGTTTTCCTGGTCAGTAGTTCGAAAATTTTCGGTTTTCAAATCATGTTTGTAGCCAACAATTGAACCTTTGTTATAATAATATGTTAATGCTTCTATCAATTTTATTGAAAATTTATTTGAATTTCTAACAATTCTGATGGATCACTCCTAGGGCAGGAATCCACTTTGGTCTACTTCAGGATTAGAAAGTATTGCGATTTTTACTTACTTTAAATTGGATGCTGAAAGATAGCTGAACGAGTGTTGATTCTACAAAGCAGATACCTGCAAATAGACTCGGAACTGACAGCAGCAGTAGAACGAGACAGGCCAAAAACTGAAAGAATATGAAAAACGTTCTCACCGACTAAAAATGAAGTGTTTTCATCAGTGTTGTAATAGGTTTTCTTTCTTTATTATCGTTATTGTTGACCGTAGGCTAGTTCATTACGTTATACAGCAGATGGTCAGGCTAGATCCTGCCTAACAAATAGGTTTCAATTTGACATGAACGTGACGTATAACTGGCTCTGATTACCCAACGAATGAGACAGACAACATTTAAAAAAAACTTAATGTAAGGTGAGGATTAGATCGGGGCTGTGGTGAGCTCCACCGTAGGAGACAGTGCCCGGTCCGGCGGAGAAATCCCGATGGCAGAATCAGTGCAGCCACCGACGGGGGGCTAGATTTGATCATACAAGTGGACTTCTTTCAGAAAGGCGATCAGCGCAGCCAACGTCGAGGGGTCGTAATCAAGCAGATTACTGACGTTCTCCGGGAGTCCATGTCGTTCGCGTAGCTTCTGGAACTACGGGCAGACACACAGCACGTGTTCCACCGAGGCGGGGATGCTGCAAATTGAACAGACCTTGCGGAAAGGTGTCCCACCGCAATTACAGGAAATCCTCGCATGGCCGGTCTGGAGTCTTGAGATGATCCGCTGGTCCTTGTACTTTTGGCTGTCCGGCCAGGAACGTACGGTTTCCTGGATCTTTCTCAGGAAAGTGGTCCGCGACTGGAACTATTCCTGCTGCAAGGCTTCCATAAGGGTAATGGTTTTTCACAATCCAACGCATGACGTCTAGGAAGGGTACCGGGGTGGCTCGGGGCTTCGGCTTCCAGCGCTTGGATGACGCTGTGTGAGTCAGTTGGATCGGTTGATCTGCCGGAGTGATGGCTGCGACTTCAGCGGAAAAGACGGAACACTCCTCCGGTAGATTTTGACTCGTTGCAGTGTTCAGTCCTGCCACTCCGAGTCCAACTCCAGCCCGCGACCGCGATCCGTTTGTAAAGCGATGAACGTACCCCGGATAAACCGACCCGAGAAGCTCTGCAACAGAACGTTTCAAAGCTACAGAGTTATCTCCGGATCTCCGTGTTGTAATAGGTTGTAAATAAGTGAATTACACATATAACTTTTTTCGCCGAGGTTCCAACAGCCGAATAGTTCTGCAATTGCTGAGATTCAGTAAAACAATTACCGAGACTCAGCCTACAAATAACTATTTGCTGAAATATCAGCTGACAAACACACATTTTGCAGAGATATCAGCAAAAGTAAATGCCGAGGTAATCGGCTGTAGGAGATTTTACCGAGCTAGATTAAGTGTGTATGTTTGCACAAATTAAATTATCACAAGGCTATGTAAAATTCTTCCATTTCACAATTATAATCAAAATATACATGACTGATCTTTAAGCGATTTCAATCCTCCTACCTAATTTAAGCAAATCAATTGTATGTTGTATCAGTATGTTCTGAATTGTGAAAATCTGAGCCAATCGAACATTCCCATTAGATTATTTCCGAGGATTATTCTTACCAGATCATATTTGAAAATATTGTAATCAAATAGAAATTCAATGTCACCAAGAAATGTGCAAAATATTGCGATGCACTCGATTATTATTTGCACGTACATCGAAGAGAGAAAAAAAAAGTTATGTGAAATGCTTGCTTGTAGCAAGGGTTCAAAGATAATTGACATACAAAACCCTGTAGCCGAATTGTATTTCGTTTTTTTTCCGCCCATCTCTTCCTCTGAGTATTTCTATTAACACTCCGAACATGATGCCTCCGGTAAAATGTGTAACGGAAAACTTGCAATGTTTTAAAAATCATAGCTCAGCCATGTTCTATTGGCACCACTTGAAACTACAAACTTTAAAAGCTTATTCGATACCAATAGGTTTAAAATCTGTTGATAAATTGCTGAGTTATGATTTTTCAAACAATATCAATTTGCCGTTACACATTTTACCGGAGGCAACGCGTTCAGAGTGTTTGCATAGACATAGTTTGCATCCTCTTCTTGTAACTTACTAGCAAAACATGTGATCATAGTAAAACATGTTTTTATGCGAAACGATTGGAAGTATGTTTAAAGGAAAGAAAAGCTTTAGAAACGTTGTTGAAAATTCATTTTTTTTGTTTTGCAAAACACACCGTCTGTGCGCGAACAATATAATGTTAATCCAGTAAATTAAGCTACATAACCATACGCAATCGCTTGATCCGAATGACGAAATGCCATCTGTCGGTGTGTTTGGGACGATCAAAATACGCTTGCAAATTGTTTCATTTTAGATAATTAGCATGGTTTTTCGCGTCCAATCGTCAAATTTTCCGGTACGAACACAGCAAGAGAAAGAGAGAATTAAGTTTGCTAATTGGGCGTAATGGTCGATTGTTATAATAGATGCGTCATACAATATGAAAGGTAATAAGAAATAAGGTAACTAAATGCAGCGTCAAGAAAATGAAAAGAAACTTTCAACAATTTTTCAAGCTTCATTACCGCAATGTTAAGATCGGACCAATTGCTTCGACTACAACGTTTAGTGTCGTCGTCGTCGTTGTTGTTGTTGTTGTTGTTATTGCTTTTGCTGCCGTCTCGAGGGTGAGGATTTTCGGCGAATGTGGCCATCATCGATGATGAGGTCAACGGTAGCATTGGCGGCGGTGGTGGAATTATGTAAGAGCTAGAGTTACGACGCTGCTGTGGTTGCTGCTGCTGCTGTTGGTGTTGTCTTAGATTCTGGACATACTTGCTTACTCGGTCAGCGCAACTAAATTTGGCTAGAATGCTATTACTACTAGTATTGGTAGAAGAGGAGGAAACGGTTAAGGGCAGTAGAGACGGTGGTGTTGGCTGTGACGGCCAGCTGTAGCTTATCTGTAAGCCGTATAGTTCAAAAACCACTTTTAGTACGTGTATTCTAAGGGATGATGGGATGGAAAGCAGCTGATGCTTTAATGGCAGCTTGAGGATGGATCAATTTTGTTGCTTGCTTCAGCATGACACGGCCAATTCACACTAGAGAGAGCGCTGTTAGGGGTGGTCGAAAACGATGTTGGGAAGTTAGCAACTTTCCCCGATGGACTTACCTCATTGTCCAGGACACTGGCGACGACTTCGACTAGTAATGTTCCCAGACTCTGTTCGTGACTTTGGAGACCTTCAGAGGAACAAAGCCTCGACAACATGTCCGGTTGGACATATTGGATCATCTTTTTTATGAGACCTGGAGGGGATATATTGAGGGCAATTAGAAAAGGTTGGAAGCTTTTTGGATGACAAGCTCACCTAAGCTAGACCGCCGTACGCTGGCCAGCATTGTGCTTTGGAACGTTTTACAGAATATTGGCAGAAAGAACTTGAGATACACGGGTGCCATTTCTGGATCTCCCCGTGGCTCACTGTCTCCATCTTCTGGGTCGGTTTTCAGATCCGATCGTGTTGCTGCGGTCATCCATTCACCGGGTGACTGCAGAATAGAAGCAACTTCACGGTGGCCTTCATCTGGTCGTTCACGAGCTTTGTCTAGCGGCGTTTTGCCATCTTCGTCCCGGAGGTCTGGGTTGGCACCGTGTTTGAGCAGCACTTTTGCAATGCCTGGCCGGCCGAAGCAAGCCGCATAATGCAGGGAGGAACTTCGCTGGCCTTTGTTTACGTCAGCACCTTTATCACATAAAAACTCTACCATCTCTAATGTACCGAAAGCTGAAGCCCAGTTCAGTAGCGTTTGACCGACGTCGTCCATACAGTTGACATCGATGCCGCCCGATTCGATAGCTTCGATAAGTGCTTCCGTGTCCTTACTACGTATGCAGTCGATCAATTGTCGATGCGTTCGCTCGGTGCTGGAATCTGCTCTGCGCACCCGTGGAGCCAACTGACCACTTGAGCCACCTACCCTACCAAGCGCTTGGCGACCTTCGAACAGCAGTAGCAAGATGAGATCGGCAAGCCTCATGCAATCGAGAACGCATCGTTCGTCTCCTTTGAAGGCTCGTTCCATAGCTTCTGGTAGATTGGATCGGAGCAGATCGTGAGTGATTGAAGGCGATCCTCGGCACAAGGTAGATAGCAGTGATATGGTAGTGGCGATTGACTGACTCGATCGACCTGCTTCGGCAGCTCCTTGTGTCTTGGGTGCCGATGATGAAAGCTGTACTGTTGGAGCAACCTCCTGACTATTTAACTGAGCAGCTGGAGGTGCATTAGCACTAGCACCAGCAGTCAAGGTTGATGTTTGTGGTCCCGCAGCGTTACTTAGCCGGTTCAATAGCTCTGTAACTAGGCCGTACTCTGCTAGTGGAGCTGGATCGACTCCTTTTCGTGTGAATCGATCCGCCACCGAGGCGAAGCATTTCAGCGCTCCGTCTGCCACAAGTGGGTCTTCGTGCTGGAGCAGCGTACTTAGACTTTCTACACAAGTTTGTACATTAGCACCTTGTGGTTCAACCTTGGTACATAGCCTGGACACCACGGCCATGGCCGAATGGAGTGTGTCTTTGTGGATTTGAGAACCATTGTCCCGGATGAATGAGAGCACACAGTTCAGTCCACCGCCTTCGAACACTGCTCCGGCTTCTCGAGTGCAGATGAGTTCGAGCACTTTGATGCACTGTTCCGCCAGATCGCGACTAGTTCTGCTTTCGAGATCCGCCACCACCAATCGGTTGCAGATGGCTTTGATAGCACCATCAATCGCCACAATGCGACGTGTGCACTCGGATGAAACGTCCAGATAGTAGGTGATGGCACGTGCTGTCACTTCCAGTACATTCTCTGGCGCCAGCTCGTCTAGAAAAATCTTGCATAGTGCTGGCAGAAACGTCCGCGGAGGACAACTGAAACGATGACCGTAAACACACGTATGTTTATACATTTTTGTCTGTTTGTTATGAATAAGAAAGCAACGGTTCTTACCTTTCGAAACAACGATCCACGTTGTCGGACATCAACAGGAGCATGCAGAGTTGCTCTAGGGCAATCAGCTGCATGTCCCGTTCGTCTCCCTGGCCCATAGAGAGCCATTCTAGCAGCGTTTCTGGATCAACGTCACCCATCTGGAAGGCAAAAGAGAAGACGACCATTGTTAATTACACAATATCCAGCCATAGAGGTACGTATCAATCTGAAAGTAGGTAATCCCTTTCTAAAATGAGGTCATACTGCTGTTGTGGGGATGCTAAAAAAAACACTGCGTGTTTATATTTCCACCCCAAATTTGTTTGATTCTATTTAAGAAATAGGAGAGCATGCGAGAAAAATAACAAATTAATCCTCGAGAAATGAATACCAGTCAAAATTATACGAAGGGCATTGGATGTCGGCGACCATCTAAATCAGGTCGCAGGCAAAGCTTAGCATTTATCTACATGGCCTCCCATTCCGGAACATAATATATTCACTTTGAGCTATTCCAACATCCGAGAGCGATTCTGGTTGGCAGTTTGTTTTCCTGTGTAGCTGCTCTCGTTTAGGTTGTCATATGGCAGAAAAACCAGAATCGTTAAATAAAGAAGAGAGGTAAAACAAGATACTCAAACCAATTCACAGCCGCTGATGTGGGACACTGGGGCAAGGAGGGCCACCGGAGCAGTGTTGCTTACTGCCTTGGCTTGGCTTCAATTTAATGGGGTTATGTAAATCGAATCTATACCACACTCACGGCGAGAGCCCCGCTCTGCTCCAACACTTCACTGCCGACTGCATGTTGGATGGTTTTCTCTCAGCTCAGCTACATCACGATCGCAGTAGATGTTCGTCGTGCCATTTCATTCGCAGTAGGTAGAGTTGATACAGATGCAGAGCAGAAAGACGCTGCGCACGAGATGCATCTCTCTAGACTCTAAACGGGGGAGAGCAGAGGGCGCCACTTTTCAAGCAGCTGATGCTACATTTGGATGCTGGCTGGTCTTGTAACAACTGTACGAAGTTATAGTTCAAATTGTAGGGCACATAATTTCAACGCTAATGGTGATTCATTCGTCGTGTGCTCCGCTCCGTTCGGGCAGTGCACTGCGTTGGTTCGCTTTATCGAATTATGATCACAGTCAAATTGGCCTTCTGCGTCCGTGGTGCTGTTTTTCAGTGAGCATCATATTGATCTGACCTACTTGTTGGGTTGGGTTGGCTCGCGAAAGAAAGATACGCTACGTAAATGTAAACTCTGTACCTACGTTGTTATTGTTTTTTGGCATAAGGTCAGACTAACTACAGGAAACGAAGCGAGACAGATCAGGACTTAATCTTACAGTGTCCACCATACGGTTTAAAAATGAGATTCGTTTCCAATTATCAATTTTAACACACTAACGTCGTCTTATCGGATCAGTAGTTTATTTTTGTTAATTTCCCTTTAAACAAAATTTACAACGCAGATTCTCAGTATAGACCATTTGTGTTTCTTTTAAATCACTTTTCGAACTAAAAATCCAAATGTGTTAACTATTTATTTATTATACTACTACTCCATGCTTCCAACATAGGGCTGACGAATTCGGATTTCGAAAATCAATTGTTTCCGTAATGAAGATATAACAGTCGAAGTAGGTAGTTTCACATTTTCTTTTCAGTTTGGCTTGAAGTGAAGTCAATTTGAGTCAACATGTAAGATTTTAGATGAAACCATGAATGGATGTTTAATTAATAAATTAATTGTCTATGTATGACATTTGTTAAGCGAAGAATTAAATTGGACAGCAACGACACTGCTTTTCATACTATTTCATGGGGCTCTGATTGCCACGGACTAATAATACAATAATACAAGTAATAATAATGTTTATATATATTCACAAGCGCACTGCCGTCGTCGTTTTACGCTGTAGACAGTCAGTAACGTCGTGACCGTGCGATATGGCGTGTTTTCATTTTCCTCTGTTCGGGACATAAATCCACTGCGACAGTTATTTGATCTATTGTGGTATACCCCGTGTCCTTAGTTTAGTGTATGTCGTATTTCTACATCACTATTGAGAAATGAAGAAGTAATCGGTTTTGATACAGTTGTCATTCTTGCCTTTATCGCAAGGATCCAACTCTAATTGTAAGGTCCCGCTCTTTTTACCCTTTAGAGTGTTGGAGCACCCTCCAAAGGCAGCGCCCCATTTGTTAGTCAAAAACAGATTCCTTCGCAAAAAAAAGCAATAACACTGATAATGACCATGCATCAGAACCCTAGTCTTAACCACTTCAAACTAGGGAACAACGAATAGAAGATTAGGAATCACATAGATGAGTACTAACTAACTAATTTTTCCCTTATTTTAAGATCATCCTCGGTGGACAAAGCCGAGTCTTGCCACTATTAACAAGGCATAAAAAGTAAAAAGGACCAAGATGTGTTCCTTTGATTACAAAACCAATTCTGTTCCCCTTGTTTGAAGTAGTTCGACTTCGGTGGTAGATCTTAATGCCAGTAACGCACCACGAAAATGTAATCGATATTTTGTTTTTGTTAATTACTTTATTTATACAGGCTATTGTAATCGATATGAATATGGCGTGTTACTATATGATGACGGTTCAAACGCGTGGTTATTGTTTGTTTTCCTGTGAAGCAAGTATCAAAAGACGGCGACAACGACCGAACGGAACAAGCAGCGAAAACAAATTAAATAAAAGGAAAATGTTCAATGAGTTATAGAAGTAGGGCAAACGCTCTTACAGTTGCGGTATGTTAGAAGCGTTAGGTTTCTATAACGGGTGTCCACTAAAAAATGAAAATGATTCCAATACTTTTCTAATAGAACAGAACTATATGATACATTATGGTTGGAGTGTCTACGGAGCACCACCGTTCGAGATAGATATGAACTGCCGATACTCGCATAATTGTCCCATCTTTGCTTGATTTCCTATTCATATGGGACAGTTATGCTTTTATGGGCAGTGAACATCTACGACAAAACCAACTGCTCGGCATCAAGCAATGATAACTTAAGAAACTGTACATGGCAGATGCAATCAACGCAAATATAAATCAAACCGTTCTGTGAAACATGTTCTAACAAATCCTGATGAATCCACCTACCGGTGACAAGTGCCTTTCTATCGTAGGGGTAGGCAGTGTGAAAATTAAATAGAAGTTGAAATTGAGCGAAGGGCCATTAATGCGACAGTACTAGTCAAAAGCACACTCTTTCACCTAACGCATACATTAATGGATGAGGAGACTTAAAGTTTTTCTTCAAATCTACAGGCAAAAGAGTGCGCGTTTGACTTGCTCATATCTTGTCTGCGGCTGTGGAATAATTCTATCGACGTTTATCACCTAAAGTCCTACATTGCCAAAAGCATTTCCAGGCGACGGTGTGTTATAATGCAATTCAAACTGAACATTGCATTAGGTCCTAAATAACATTGTTCTCTTCGTCTACTTTCTCTTTCGTTAATAACTTGAGCACATAACCGTTTCTTCTTGTGTTTGTCGTATTGGATGCTAGATAAACGCTTCGATATGTGTGCTGAAAATACCTGGGAATGTCTTTACATGGCCGTGGGGATCCAAAGAGAAAGTCGACGAAGAGAATCTATCGATGTTACGTAGGATCTAATGCAATGTTCAGCTGTGTTGTGTTGCTCTCTCGTCATGACCAACGTAGTCAGAGAGAACAAGCAATAGGGTGGTGTTGCGTGCTGTACCATCATCAGCATTGTTGATGGTTACTCCCGCCTTGAGTTGTTACATGTGTAACGATAACTTTACAACCCAATAGTATTTAATAAACATTTCGCCTTTAATTATACTTATTAGACTGCACCCGGCTTAAGCTACTCGATACCCTACCAACACTGTACCATCCCAAACTGCTCGAATTGATCTTCCAGTGTATAGGCGATTTAGATAAAAGTTTTTATTTAATTTTACCACGACGCAATAAATGAATTTGCCTCACTCAAACGTTATTACGTTTTGTCTTTGGGGTTTGATTTAAACGACGCAAATAAATTTGATTGGTTAATCCAAGGTCATGGGACTTGAAAGGATTAACCCAGAACACTTTCAAATCACTTTTGTTGGAGTGCTTAGATTCTTCGGTTCGATTTTTATAAAGCGGAATAAGTTTTGAAATAGTAAAAAAAAAAGTTTGAATTGGTTTAATGGTGAATTTTTGGAAAAGCCTAGAACAAAGTGAGTTTGAAACATTGAAAAAGGATTTGACCTAAAAATGTATTAAATTATGTATTAAAGTTTACTTTAGTGAATTGTATAAGCTGAACCTAAAACAAATAGTGAACATTGGTAGTATTTAGAACCAGGTAAGAATAATAAGTCGATATTTTTTCCATTGTGCAATTTGTAAGACCCTTGAACACGTTAATAGGTCCTTCATTAACGTGGGAGTTTGGTTGGGATCGAGAATCCCCTATTTCGAGAGCGAATAAGGCTAATAGCGGTCGTGGATAAAGCAGGTGGTAGACTATACCCGTGAACACTACACGTGGTCCTCGAGACCGAACAAAACGTTACCCTGCCCTCCCCTAATATGGAGACGCATTTACTCCGTCCACCTCGTAACACCACCCACCGCATCCTTCGGAAAATATTAGTACCAAACCGCCGGCAGATTCTAACCTCTCGTCGTCAAGTTCGAGAGAAGGTGAGTCATCAGGCATTACGCGCCCGAGGGTGCTCGCTTAGCCTGGACAACCATCCGTAGCAGATGTAGAGTTCGTCTCGTCGTAGAGGAGCCACTCCGACAGCACCAGCACGGCCGATGAATGGTAAAGGGTTATGAAAACAGGTCAGTGATCACTGCTTAGGACATCTTTGAGCTCATTGATTCGAGTAGACTGGTTCCAATAAACCCCGGGTTAGAATTTCAAATGATCTATTAAATTAATTCAAACGTTTGAAATCGCGTTTCGAATAAATGTTCTGAATGAACATTTTGGTTGTGCGCTTCCATGAGAGTAGTTTGCGTTCGTTTTTAATTAAAAATAAAGCTTCTCGTAATTGATTTTGAGTTAGATTATTGGTTGTATGACGTTTCGATTGACTCGCCCGCAGATTGGGAGTTTCAGGCCGGGCATCCCTGAAATAATTTTCGCTTTCGAC